GCATTCTGCTTTTCCCCCTACTTCTGTATCTATAAACCTACCAGTTAAGGATGGAGGATGAAGTTACTTTGAATTGTAAAAGCACTGTAGCATATGAATGGAACAAGTGGTTAAAATTTTAGATAAATTGAATTGGGCCACCTGATATAAGGATAGAACAACACCTTGAACAAAATAAGTGCAAGAGAAAGGGGGAGGGGGAGAAGTCATATGGGCCATGCAAACATTTTTCTTGTTATTTTTTGTTTCTTTGTCTGGCTATGTAATAATAATCTGTAAGTGTATAAAACTATAGGATATAAATAATCTGGAGGTACATATAATGAATATATGTATGTATATCATGTTTTATATGTCTTCTTTTTCTAAAATCCAATAAATAATATTGAAAAAAAACAAACCCAATATATTTCTACCCCCTCCTACTTATTTTTCTGCAGGGGGTTATAACCTTTGGTGGTCCACCAGGGATATGATCCCTCATGGGTGCTGCTGACCAGGGCTCAAGTCCTGCAGGAACGCGTGGGAATGGCCGTGGGAAACGCCGTTCCCGCTGGCACTCAGGGGGCGGCAAAAAATGCCGCCCCAGATGCCCCCGTGTTTTCCCTGTCATGGCCACCTGATTGACTCCCCCGGCGGGCGCCTGTTTCCATATCAGATGCAGTGAGAGAGCTGTGTTCTCTCTGCTCCCTCTCGCCGCGTTGTTTGCTGATGCCGGGAGCCGGAATATGAAGTCATATTCCGGCTCCCTGCATCAGACAGCCCGCGCGGCGAGAGGGAGCAGAGAGAACACCTCTGCTCCCTCGCCGCGTCTGATATGGAAACAGGCGCCCCCCGCACTGAAGCCCTACTGGACCCCAGGGACAGGTCCACGCCATCTCTCCAGGTAAGGAGGCTGGGTGGACATTTTTTTATTAAAAAAATAATAATTTATGAGTGTCTGTGAGTGTGTGTGTGTGTCTGTGTGTGTGCACTCGTATATATATATATATATATATATATATATGTGTGTGTGTCAGTGTGTGTGTGCACGTGTATATATAAATTCCGAGCACAAATATATATATATATATATATATATATATATATATACAGGGAGTGCAGAATTATTAGGCAAGTTGTATTTTTGAGGATTAATTTTATTATTGAACAACAACCATGTTCTCAATGAACCCAAAAAACTCATTAATATCAAAGCTGAATATTTTTGGAAGTAGTTTTTAGTTTGTTTTTAGTTTTAGCTATGTTAGGGGGATATCTGTGTGTGCAGGTGACTATTACTGTGCATAATTATTAGGCAACTTAACAAAAAACAAATATATACCCATTTCAATTATTTATTATTACCAGTGAAACCAATATAACATCTCAACATTCACAAATATACATTTCTGACATTCAAAAACAAAACAAAAACAAATCAGTGACCAATATAGCCACCTTTTTTTGCAAGGACACTCAAAAGCCTGCCATCCATGGATTCTGTCAGTGTTTTGATCTGTTCACCATCAACATTGCGTGCAGCAGCAACCACAGCCTCCCAGACACTGTTCAGAGAGGTGTACTGTTTTCCCTCCTTGTAAATCTCACATTTGATGATGGACCACAGGTTCTCAATGGGGTTCAGATCAGGTGAACAAGGAGGCCATGTCATTAGATTTTCTTCTTTTATACCCTTTCTTGCCAGCCACGCTGTGGAGTACTTGGACGCGTGTGATGGAGCATTGTCCTACATGAAAATCATGTTTTTCTTGAAGGATGCAGACTTCTTCCTGTACCACTGCTTGAAGAAGGTGTCTTCCAGGAACTGGCAGTAGGACTGGGAGTTGAGCTTGACTCCATCCTCAACCCGAAAAGGCCCCACAAGCTCATCTTTGATGATACCAGCCCAAACCAGTACTCCCTCCACCTTGCTGGCGTCTGGAATTCGGACTGGAGCTCTCTGCCCTTGCAATCCAGCCACGGGCCCATCCATCTGGCCCATCAGGGAGCTCCCTCTCATTTCATCGGTCCATAAAACCTTAGAAAAATCAGTCTTGAGATATTTCTTGTTTAGTCTTGGCGTTTCAGCTTGTGATGTCTTGTTCAGTGAGTGGTCGTCTTTCAGCCTTTCTTACCTTAGCCATGTCTCATTATTGCACACTTTGTGCTTTTGGGCACTCCAGTGATGTTGCAGCTCTGAAATATGGCCAAACTGGTGGCAAGTGGCATGGTGGCAGCTGCACGCTTGACTTTTCTCAGTTCATGGGCAGTTATTTTGCGCCTTGGTTTTTCCACACACTTCTTGCGACCCTGTTGACTATTTTGAATGAAACGCTTGATTGTTCGATGATCACGCTTCAGAAGCTTTGCAATTTGTGCTGCATCCCTCTGCAAGATATCTCACCATTTTTGACTTTTCTGAGCCTGTCAAGTCCTTCTTTTGACCCATTTTGCCAAAGGAAAGGAAGTTGCCTAATAATTATGCACACCTGATATAGGGTGTTGATGTCATTAGACCACACCCCTTCTCATTACAGAGATACACATCACCTAATATGCTTAATTGGTAGTAGGCTTTCGAGCCTATACAGCTTGGAGTAAGACAACATGCATAAAAAGGATGATGTGGTCAAAATACTCATTTGCCTAATAATTCTGCACTCCCTGTATATATATAAATATATATATATATATATATATATATATATATATATATATATATATTTGTGCTCGGAATTTATCTAATACGTAATGGAATGTAAAGGGGAAGCAAAGTTGGTTGAGGTGTGCCGAAACCAACGTACTAGTAGGCCTGTAATATAAGATGGCAAAAGAGGATTCAAAGAAACACACTTTATTGCAAGTTTATACAGCTTTTGTACTGATAGCTTGTTAGGAGCTTTTACTCTGATTGAGGTATATATGTAACTGAGCTGAGGATTGCCTGTGGCCCCATCACTTAGTGATGTAGACTGCGGTGTAAGAGCTTGAAGCTGCTGATGCAGCGCTTTAGCAAAAAAGAGAGACCAGCGAAGGAAGCCATGAAGTAGCTCACCTTAATGGAAGGTTTAGATGTGAAGTAATGGATTAGGACTGATAGTGTGTGATGACCTTGGATACGTAAAAAGCGGAGTGACAGCATAGGAGGTATAAGTAAGATGCTTGACTTGTAGGTTTAGAGGAAGAGGCAAAAATTACCATGGTTTAACTGCAAAGTCTTGAATCAAGCAAACTCTACTTGTGACATGGTACAATATACAAAGCCCAGGCGTGAGTGATAGAGTAGTTGCGAAATTGCATGAAGTGTGCGTACCGGTACGAGGTGTAATTGTGTGCTTAGTCCAAGATTAGCTCATGGAAAGGTGGTATCCTGGATGGTATGTAATGGGTCGTAGGGAGTGCCTGAAAGAAGACCTTAAATTGAGCGTGAAAGAGCGGCAGCGGCTGTGTTGTGGACACCAGGAATGTAAAAGCAGACTAAAAAGAGCTGAGAGGTTGCTGCCAGCCAAGTGGTTGGCGAGGATGGCAGCCCCTGTTAATGATGTCACAGGTTGCGGAATTGTCAGAGCAGCATTTACCTGCCTTGCCGGTCCAAAGATGACCCCATGTGAGGGTCGCTGCCATGATGGGGTAGATCTCCGACAAAGTAGTCTCTCTAAAGGCCGGCAATGCATCCTTCACAGTGGGCCAGACATTCCTAACCAGTGGACCCGAGTGTCGTGAAAAACAGAGGGACCCCGAGTGTTGTGAAAAGGAGGCTGTGGTGGTATGAATACTGTTAGGTGTTTGTGAACCTGTTATGGATGACTGATGGACACCTGAATATTTTCAGGAGCAGCCAGCAGAGGGTTTGTGCGAAGATGTTGAATACATAGGGCTGCTCCTAGAGCCAAACGTAGGCCAGGTGCCATAGTGAAGGGTGACTAGGTAGTAGATTAATGGCGTTAGATAAGTCTGTCTTGCTCAACCAGGCCTTACTACTTGCTGAAGAGGTAGCTTGTATGGCATGGTTGATTCGCGTAGTGCAGTGATAACTCTTAAGCGGGAATGAGGAAGTTTGATGCTGGGAATGGATGTAGAGTGCGGTACGGAAGAGGTCTATGATACGACTTATTATAGGGTATTGTGAATGGCTATCTTGATGGGAATGGTACACCAAGATGAGAAGTGTGAAGATCAGAAAGAGGCGATCGTGAAACCAGCGTATGATTGCTGTGGACAGAAGGTGGTCCACTGTAAGAGGGTCAATGGATGCAGATAATAGGTTAGGGCATACGAGTGTACTTGTGGAAATGTCGATAAGGCCCGTGTGAAACCCCTGTGAGAAACCCGGCACCAGAATCTACCAGATGCCTAGTTGGGTGTAAATGCAGATAGTATTCCAGGATATCAATGTTAACCTTAGTTGGGCGTATCTTAGGTGACAGACGGACTGCATATGTGGACTAGGTGTGGGTTCTGGAGCAGATGTGCAAAACCCTACATGTAGTGAAATAGCATACCCCAGTATTAAAGTGATAGAGCACCCGAGCCTTCCCCGGAAATGAAATGGTCAGCCCAGCTTGTCCCTCTGGCTGCTTCCCTGTCTAGTACGTGGGGTGAAGGAGTGGTGAGAAGTGGAAGTGGCTGTCTCTATGCGAGAGGCAATGATAAACAGAGGAATGGAAAGCTTTGTTAAGTCGTGGGTCTCACTCTTTAGGACTACTGAAATGTCACCATGAATATAACCTTTGTACTGTAGGGTGTCTTGGGAAGTTAAGTAGTGATGTTAGTTTAACATCCTTTCTATCGAGAATTTCCTTCTTCATGGAAATTGGAACAGAGTGGGCCGATGAGACGTATGGAGTAGTGATAGTGGGGGACGGGGAGGGAAATGAGGAGTAAGCCAGACTGTATGACCGAGATCGCCAGGTGAGGGTCTGCCGGGATTAACGAGATACCTGGTGTGGCTGTAGCCGATTCCACTTATCAGCCTGTTGAACATTTGGAGGCTGGCCGGGATAGTGACCGGCAGTGGCGTACTAAGGGAGGGGCGGGGGGGGGCGGTCCGCCCTGGGTGCCAACAGGCAGGGGGGTGCCACCAGGGCTGGCCAGGCTTGGGAGTCAGTGAGCTGTGTGGCTGCACTGGTTGCCATAGCAGCAGGGGCGCCGGGCAGCCGACACAGCTCACACGCAGGGGCTGGGAATACAGCAGGAAACCTGCACGGAGATTCGGGGGCGGGGCCCGATCAGCCGTGAGGGCGGAGCCAATCCGGGCGTGGGGGCGGAGCTATATGCAGCCTCCTACTGCTGCACACAGAGGGGAAGCAGGAAGGAGTCCCTGCTTCCCCAACTACAGCACAGCAGGGACTGAATCCGCTCCTCCTCCAGCCCAAGCTTACTGTAAGGGAGAGAGTGTGTGCTGTGTGTAACTGTGATTGTGACTGTCTGTGACTGTGTGTGTGACTCTCTGACTGTGTGTGTGTGTGTGTGTGTGACTGTCTGTGATTGTGTTATGTGTATGTATGACTGTGTGTGTGTGTGTGTGACTGCCTGTGATTGTCTGTGTTACTCTGTGTGTGTGTGTGTCACTGTGTGTGACTGTCTGCCTGTGATTGTGGGTGTGTGTGTGTGACTGCCTGTGATTGTGTGTGTGACTGTCTGTGATTGTGTTATGTGTATGTATGACTGTCTGTGTGTGTGTGTGTCACTGTGTGTGACTGTCTGCCTGTGATTGTCTGTGTTACTCTGTGTGTGTGTGTGTCACTGTGTGTGACTGTCTGCCTGTGATTGTGGGTGTGTGTGACTGTCTGCCTGTGATTGTGTGTGTGACTGTCTGTGACTGTGTTGTGTGTATGTGTGACTGTCTGTGATTGTGTGTGTGACTGTCTGCCTGTGTGATTGCCTGCGTATTTGACTGTCTGCCTGTAACTGTGTGTGAGTGACTGTGTGGGACTGTGTGCATCTGACTGTGTCTGACGGTCTTCGCCCTGCAGTGAGCCTGCAGCCAGGATATGATGTCATCGCGGCCTCCGCGTCATTACAGGGCGTGCGTGCGAGAGATCCCAGCAGCGACCACTGACCACCAGGGACTGAGAATCCACTCCAGCCCTTCTAGAGCAAGGTAGGGAGGCTGGGTGGACCTCTTAATTATTAAATGTGTGTATGTATGTAATGTTTGTGTGTGGGTCAGTGATTGTGCTTGTGTATAGCTGTGATTATGTGTGTGATTGTGTGTATCTCTGCGTATGTGTTTAGTAGATAGCTCCCTTATTTCCTATCCTCAAATATTGCAATCCCACATAAAGATAACAAATAAGGGATTTATCTACTAAACAACTGAAAATAAGAAAAGGGCTTTTTTGTATCCTTTAGCTGTTTAGTAGATCATTCCCTGAATTGGTGCCCGTATGTGAGATTTCCATATTTAAAGATACCAAATGAGGGTGCTGTTTAGCAGATAGCACCTTATTTGGTGACCTTAAATATGGCAATCCCACAAAGGATAGCAAATAGAGGAGTTATCTGCTAAACAAAGATTGAAATTAAGAGGTGTCAGCCAGTCCATAACAAGAAATCTGGATGGCTAATGTGAATTATATTCAAATGTGTAATCAGATGCCAGCATGCAGAACACAGCATGCTGGCATCAGACAGCCAATGGCAGCATATTACCCCATCCCCTAGTGAGAAGTTTTACTGCTCCACCTCCCCCTCCTGTTTTGACTGTGGTATTTTATGTGACCCCCCATATATATTGTTCCTAGAGTCACCACGATGTCTGCATGTGTATCTGTGTGTGACTGTGTTTGTGTGTGTATGTCCGTGTATGTGTAAATGTGCAGACATATAAAAATCTCGCCAACACTATACACAAATACACTCTTGTATTTCAGCGTCAACACTACATACAAACCCCACCATTATATATAACCATACCACTGCATTCAAATACCACACAACACACAAATGCATGCTTGCATTCAAACGCCAACACTACATACAAACACACCGCTACATTCACTCACATATACTCCATACAAAAACATGCATACATTCAAAAACACGAACACTGCTTAGTGCTAAATACATTAAAACATTTTTTAGTTGTTTTTATATTTAAAGTTGAGGGGGGGGGAGCAAGGGGGGGTGCCAAAAATAGGACCCGCCCCGGGTGCCAAATGCTTTAGGTACGCCCCTGGTGACCGGGTCTCCTGATTGGAGTCTAAGGAGTAAGCTGTCGGCCCTTGTGAACTAGAGTCAGGTCTGGGGACGTTGGCCTGAGCCGTCGTGAGCCTGTTTAGTTCTGCCTTAGTGGCAGTGGCTGGGGAGGGGATACCCCTGTGTCTGAGCTCTGCTGACATTTTTGGAATGTACCAGAATCCCAGGTAACTGAGTGTAGAAGGGGTGAGGGATTCATTTGGAGACCAGGGCTTGACTGGCGTGCTGGGTATTTCGTCCAACAGCAGACCGATTATTGGGATGGATTCTTGTTACATTCTGAAAAAGAAATAATAATTTAGATAAGTAATGTGTCTTAGAGGTGTGGAAGAGACCTGCGGAGAACTGGCCTGTTAGCTAGTGCCGAGGCGAAGAATTTACCTAGAACCAAGTGACAGGTGAGGCCCTGCTAGTGCCAAGTGGCGGAGAGAGGTTCTACCTATGATTTGGGCCGTGGGAGTTTGTGGCCACTTGAACGTGGTGGCAGGATGTTGGCCTCTCGGTGACCGTAAGAGATTCAAAACGTGTGGCCATGACTTGGGAAGCCCTAACTGTAGCCCTAAAGAAGGGTGAGCGAGGTGGCTAACTGATTTGGTCGTGGGGCTGAACCTCCGTGTATGAGGTGGGGTGTAGACCTTGCGGGACCGTCGTATTACTTAGGATAGCTAAGGCCAGCGCCTAACCCTCAATGCCAGTTCTCTATCCTGATGGGGCTTGTCTCTTAGAATGGTGTGATATAACTATGTAGATACTTAACCTTGAGTGTTTGTCCTCTTTCTTTGGGCAATGTGCAGGAAGATTACAATATATTCTTGCTTCTGCAGGGAACGGGCCCGGTCCGGGAAACCTTAGGGGAAAAAGATGCTAGTGGGCCTGAGGCGTGCCACTGGTATAATGAGTGTAAAAATGTAGAACGTATGGGTAGGTGTGTATCAGAGATACTGTAACGTAAGAACTTGGGTAAGCTGAGGGACCTGAACGTTGGTCCGTAAATTAGAGACAAGCCCCTGGGTTTCCACAAATGTGAATTTTTGAATGATAGAAAGGCGAAGTGAGGCCTTAAGGAGAAACGTAATCATAGTGAGTAAGATTACCAATACCTGATACTGCAATGTAGGGAACCAGGTAGCCTGTAGGTTGTCGATGGCGTAGGACTTGGTGAGCTGCGATTATGACACAGGTCTAAGTAATGATATGTAGAAATGAATGACAAAACATGTACCGTTAAATATAGTAGTAATACGGTGGATTATAATTATAAGATTGTTGTTGACATTTTGTGAGGAATCTTAGACCAGGTACGTTTTGAAGTTTAGAACCCACTTTGGGAGGTGGGGGGCTGTATCAGGCCGTGGAGGCTGAATGAGGCCTCGAAGGAAAACGTAAAATGGTAAACCTTCTTAACTGTTACCAAAATGCGGGATACCAGGTACCTCTTCTTGGAGCTTTGTTTAAAAATAAAAATAGTAGAACCTAAAACATATGCATGAACCAGAGTAACATTTTTTTTTTCCTTTGGAGACAGAGATTTGCTAAATTGTGCTAATGTTCTGTAATGACGTAAAGCTTAAAGACATGATAAACTAAGAAAAGATGTAGCGAGTGGTAAATAGTGGTGCTTGGGGTTGTATTTAGCTTGCAGAAACAAATTAATTATGCTGAACAGGGTCTTTTAAGAAGATTCTGCTGATTAAATTAATGGCCCGTAATTAAGTATAATCTATAGGACGGGAAGTAGTGCCACAGTCATATTGTCATTATATCTAGTGGTGACTGGAGAGCCATGTACTACACGTAAATTTATGTAAGGTAAAGAATTGAGAAAGGGGTGAGTGCTATTTTTATAGGTAAATGACATGACAAAGGTATAATTTATGACAGTTTGTGAAAATTAAAACGTATGAAGCCTCCTGCGTTCGGCTAAGTGAACGAACGAGGGGAATATAAATGGGACCGACCGCCTGTAGTCGGTTAAGTGAGCATATGAAAACAGAACGAGAGCCGTTTAAGTGCGTTCGGCTGTACTGGCATGCAAACGGACAAACGAACGTAAGTAAATATAGTGCGGTCGGTAGATATTTAAACGAAGGAGTGTGTACTCTGCGATTGGCTGTTAGCTGTACGAATGCAGAAGTTCACAAACAGAGAAAAGTTCACAAATGGATAAGTATGATACTAATAATAATAGGGAGCCTATCCCCGCGTTTTTAAGCCCGAAACGTGGGAAATAGCCGAACGCTATTTCCCACGTTAAGCTTACGTGGAGTAGCGAGCGAGGAAGGATAGAAGCCGGTTGACGGGCACGGAGGACGAAGGCAGGAGCTGCTGGTGATGGACTGTTTGCTGGAGACTGGATTCTGGCAGGAACAACGGACCAGAAGTTCTGGTTGCTATGGAGAAGACAAACAGCTTGCACGACAAAGGTAAGTTGGGGGGTAGGGTTTAAATAGGATCACAACTCCTCCCACAAATTCAGGCCTTCCAACATATAAAAAAGTGTATATTATTTTTTGTGGGGGGAATCTTGGGATAGTTCCCATCCTTTATTCCCCAGGACATGACCACTGCTGCTGACCCCATCCCTGATGGTCCAGCAGGGGAGAATATGGTTTGCATATGCAGACCACAAACGCTCTTCTAGTATGGTGCTCACTGTTTGAGTCAGAGCATAGCCACAGTAACCCTGCAGCAGTGCTCCGTGTCATTCATTATGTGCTCCCTGTGGCAATTTTATTGTTATTTAGTATATTGCTGAATTGGCAATACTAAATAATAGTCCTGCAAGGTTCCCCTGCCTGGCCTTGGCTCTTCCTTGACAGGAAGAACTCCAGGATCCAGTTGTACTAGCAGGTTCTTTTGCCACTGGGCCTATGCACAGCATTCCGTTAAGCCATATGTCTGCATGTAGCCAAGGCGCAGGCTTTCGCACCAGAATCAGGGAGGGCAGGTGAGTGAGCAAACTATTTTTGTAGTCAGACCAAAACCATTAAAACTGGCTTATAGCTTTAAAGAAAAAAAAAAACACACTACATATTTTTGTAAATCACTACAGTTATAGGCAACTGCATGCAGCAAGATAGTGAACAGAGGAAATCCTTGTACCACAATGCTATCAGTTATGCAGGGATGCTTGGAATGTCTCTTTAAGACAAAATAGTTTAAAATGTGTATAAATAATGCTATTTAAACCAAGAAGATTAAAGAAAATATATTACAAAAAAGGAAGTTTTTTATCTTTAAATACTGACTGATATCTTTATCCAAATCTGCAATTTAATTGTTTCTCTTTGTGCTGCTGTGCTTGCAAGTGATACCGAGAGATATTTCAATGTGCATCCAATGTCTAAAAAGTGTCCACTAACTGATAAAATACTTTGTTCTGCTCACATTCTATGTTGGCTTTAGTCTGCATGGACCATATTTTCACTGCTGATAGGAGTTAAAGAGATCAGACTCTTCAGTGTATTTGTTTACAATTTTTTGGCAAGCTTGAGGTGGCAATGTTACATCTCAGGTTCACTTGCATTCCACGTGAGTGCAGGGTCGGATTTACAAGTCAGGTGCCTGTAGCTACTGAATTTAAAAGCACCTCAAGGTAACCCTCCTTTGCAATTCTCTTATTTTTGCTCTTTCATCTCTATTCCAGATAGCTCTCTATTTTGGTACCCTTATTTATCGATAACAAATTAGGGCACTATTTAGTAGATAGCTAATTAATTTGGTACCCTTATATGGTATTACCCTATTTAGGATATCAAATTACGGTACTGTTTAGTAAATAGCTCCTTAGTTTGGTACTCTTATTTAGGATCACCTAGTTTAGGATACCAAATTAGGGTGTTTAGGAGATAGCTCCCCAATGTGTTTACCCTACGTGGGATTGTCCTATTTAGAATGCAAATTATTATTATTATTATTATTATTATTATTAGGGAGATAGCTCCCCTAATTTGCTCAATTTATATGGGATTATTTAAGGATACCAAATTAGGGTGCTGTTAGTAGTGAACACGGCCACATACACTGATATTTACACAAACATGCACAGTCATATACATGTTCATTTACCCATGCATACACACTGTCATTTACCTATACATGCACACAATCATATACAGATTAATTTAACAATACATGCACACTGTCACATACATTGTCATTAACACATATGTGCACAGTCATTTGCTCATGCATGCACAATCATAGTAATTTACTCATATATGTACACAGTTATATGCATTGTCATGTAGCCATACATCCACACAGTCATACACATTCATTGATCCATGCATGCACACCATCAACACGCAACATATTGCAAACAAAATTTGTGCATACTATTCCCAGTTATTTAATTTAAAAGGATGACAAAATGATATTCACAACCCACATTGCCTGAATCGAGATATTTTAGATAAAGTCAGTCTCTCTACATCAGCTCCAAATAACAAAAGAAAAGCTGACTAAACCCTTTACTGACTAGGAGGTTCTCAGGGCAGTATAATTACTACCACCTCACAAGGCACCAGGCCCAGATGGTCTCAAAGGCCTTTACTATCAGATCTTTAAGAATGTTCTGTTGCCTAACTTAACCAAAGCTGTTCCCAGGGTAGCCTTTCACCTGAAATGCTCCATCTCTGTTTTGTTAAACCTGACAAGCCTCCTTTGCTATCCACAGTAGTTCATTATGACCAGTCTGGTTTTGTGCAGGGACACCAGGGCACGGACAATACCAGGAAAGTCCTTAACTTACTGGACCATATATGCCCTAATAGAGTTGAAAGCATTCTATTAATACTGGACATGGATAAGACTCAACTGGTCCTACATACAACAAGTTATAGGCATGTTTGGTTTCCACCTTCTATTATCAAGAGGATAATGGATTTGTGTAGCTCCCCGTTTCTTTGTATAGCTCTCAGTTTCCAAAGATTTCACTGCAGGTTTCACCTCAAAATAGATTTGGTATTACCAATGG